TGTCATTCGTTCTTTTAAGTGTTTTTGTTTATATGTATTTTTATTTTCGTAACTCTTTGTTTCCAGTAATATGTTCTTTTATTAAAGTAATATGTTCCTTTATTTAATAAGTTAATGAACAAAAATAGTGGTGTGTTTCGTTTGTTTAAGAACAATGTTTTGTATTTTTATTTTCCTTATGCTTTTCCAGTAATATCTGTCTAACTCGACATTCTTGAACTCTAACGAATTCCTTCATGAGTAACTTATACTCTTCACTATTATCGACTACTATTTAAACGTACACATAATTTCGTGAAGTCGGTTTTATCTTACTCTTTTGAAGATCACAACTACAACCACATATTTCTTCGTTTTCTTCAACCCTAATGGGTTTCTCCTTGGCCTCTACTACAAGACTATTAGAAAGTGTTTCAAAGACGCTGTTTTCTTTAGTCGATTGTGCCTACAAATTGATAGTATTTCTTGAACCCAAAAGGTTCTTTCTTGGTGACTCTATTCTTTCTTGGTGACTCTATACTGCCAATATTATAATCGTTTTTTTCTTGTTGCCAATAAACTTTCAAGCTATTGTTTTTATGGATTTTCTAAACCTATTAATTTGCCTCATTAATCCATTTCTAAAAGCTCAAGGAAACCACAAACCATATGATAGCCACCATTGTTGTTTTTTATTTTGAAGCTATCATACAAATCTCTTTATTGATTTTCTTAAGCCACTGAAAGTTTTGTTTATTATTAGTTGATTTTTTAAGCCTAAGTATCAGCACTACATATCAATTGTTAAAAGATATATCACACCTCTTTAATTGATATATAGAAGCTCCTCATCGTTTTTCCTTAAGCCTCAAAAGTAAAACCACCAGTAAATAAATATTATTGGCCTATTTGTATTAGCTGCTTTATTTAAATTAAGAAAACAACATCCCTTTTATAATCGTTTTTAACCAACAATACCCTTTTAAATTTTTATCTTAAGCTCATATGCATGTAAGACGTATATGATTATTTTTCCTTAAAGTCATACACAACCTGATATACAATTTTTTTCCCAGCCATATAAATCAATTCTTAGCCCTTATGAAATGATTTTCTTGAACTGATCTATAAATTGACGATTAGCTGTATTACAAATTATATGTACCTTGATTTTTTTTTTCTCATGGCTACATTGTAACACTAGATTTTCACTTTGGCAAGTGAAGATGAGAGATCTTTTGGAATAAACCGATTATGAGGACGCTTTAGATTTGTTTGTAGGTAAATCTAAAGCTACTTGGACTACAAATGAAGAAAGAAAGGATCCGCATCCAGCATCCTCTTACTTGTATTTGACTTTACTTACACAACAATATTATTCAACAAGTACTTAACAAAAGTCTTCAAGAGCTATTTGGTTAAAACTTGAATCTATTTGTATGAAGAAGGTTCTTACAAACAAGATGCATTGGAAACATAAGTTGTTCTTACACAAATTTCAAAAAGTGGAGATTTCTTACCCATATATTCGACCTCAAAGAAATTATTTCTAATCTAAGTATGATGAGGAAGACCTTGGATTCATCATTTTATACTCTTTTCCGACTTCATATTTGAATATCAATGATAAAGTTCTTAAATCTTAATATTCATGATTCTCTTACTCAAATGAAGACGATGAGGCCTTGCACTCTGAAAAAATATGAAACAAATAGTTTCTAATGACTGGTGAAGCAGTTTACAAAGTGAAGGGTTATCTGTTTGGGTTCGTTATAATAATGTAATGTCTCATTTACACAAACAAAATTTTCATTTTTAAATTAGGTAAAAACATTGTTTCCATAAAAACCAAGTCAAGAAAAACCACAAGTTTCAAAATACAATCATCCCAGAATTAGAGTATCATAATAATGTGGAATCACAAAAGGTGTCGATGAGTGTATACAGTCAAGCCTTCTCCTTTCCACGATCATCTGAAGTACCCGAAACACATTTAAATTCACAAATGTAGGCATGAAGTTTAGCGAGTTCACCCAAAATATCACATACAACATAACATAATGAACAATTATGTGTTATTAGCAACCCTAGGATTATCAATAGTCCTATGGGCTCACAATAGCCCTATGGATTATCAACAACCTTGTAGGTTATCAACAACCAATAATACACACAACAACAATCAACAAATAACACTCAACTAGTCTAGCATTCACACACAAGTAGTATAGTGAGAAGACTCACCTTGCAATATCATACAATCACAATAGCTCTCTGACAGTGAAGACTGGTATTATGAATCACATAATCATCAATATAGAAGTACCCTCTCAGACTACACACTAAAACCCATAAGTTGACCAAAAGTCAACTTGGTAAAAAGTCAACCCTAACTGACCTCCACATCCTGGCCACCATAGGCCACGTTGTAGCAGCTTCACAAAAAAAAAACAGTCGCAGTGACACCTGTCGCCACATTGTAGCTGGCAAATTGCCACATTGTTGGAACTAGACTCTCACAACTTTATGAATTAAGCTTCTGTAAGTTCGACATTCTATCTTAAGGGATTAAGTCATTTTGGAGAAGATGGGTTAACAGGAGCATACGCTGGTGGTACACGCCAATACGCACAACGTACAAGCCATTTAAGCAGTACGCTCAGTGTATGCCCAGTCAATGGATATTAAGTTATTGGGCCTCAGTTTGGGCCTAGCTTTGGAGATAAAGGTAGTTGGGATGTGATAGGCCTTCAAAAGTTAGTTAAGGGTCGGAGAATTAGTTTGGGCATGGAAGAAAAGACCATTTGAAGAGTTGGGCCCAATTTAGAAAATTGGGCCATTTGGGGACTTAATAGGCCCTAGTGAGGACTAGAAAGGAGTGGGCCTAGGTCATGGCCCAAATTAGATCAAAATAGGTAAAATAGTCATTTTACCCATAAAAGAGCCAACAATTAGTGACTAAACGTTTATGTGGTCATGATAGTCGGGGAGTAGTTGGAGCAGTCGACGGTGTCACCTTTGCACGAATTATTCAGCAGTCTATTGAGGGGTGAGTTACCTTCCAGTAGCAGTGGGTCTAAGGCCACAATGTCAACCCATTAGTAGGAGATGTATGTTATATGATTGTCTTTGTGATATTCATATAGGTTTGTTGCTACCTATTATGTTCTATCTACTATTATGATATATGTGATATGATATTATGTATGGTAGTAGTAGGGGGAGATAGTCCCCAAGTTACTGGTTGATAAGGCCGAAGGGGTAGTTTAGTACCCATCAATGCTAGAGAGATTATGATTATGTGATAGTATGTGATAGACCAGTCGAGAGGATCGAAGTGGTAGGCCAACACCTAGATATGCTAGGTAAGGTCACCAGTCGAGAGGATCGAAGGGGAAGTTTGATTTTGAAAGGTTACTAAAGCACATTTAGAAATATAGAGCGAAAAATTTATGGGTTGTTCCTCCTGTTATACTTGCTTTGGCTAAACAGGATGTAGTAAAGAAGTTCGATCTATCTTCTTTAAAGCAAATTGCTTCAGGTGCTGCACCTTTGGGGAAAGAATTAATGGAGGAGTGTGCCAAAAAGTTTCTTCATGTTATGGTTATTCAGGTAATCTTCCTTTCCATTTGAACCAATATATTTAATGATCTCCTTTTTAAACTTAATTTGGCACGTATATATATATATATATATATATATATATATATATATATATATATATATATATATATATCCTTCATTATTTACTTAAAAAAATAAGATTGTTTATATATTAAACTTTATTTTATAATATTGTAAGTTTTAAAAAATTTAATGCTAAAAATGATATTAGTTAAAATATTCATAATACAAGTTTGTTATAATTCAACATGATCTTTAATTTGTTTTAACCTGAAACATTATTATTCAAAAAAAATAATGATTTTTAATTGTATCTTTTGCAATTCAAAATTACATGATTTAATAGATATTATGATTCAAAACTTGTTATTACACAAAAACCCGACTTCGGTGAAAATGTTATGATCTTAAAATGTATGATCCAAAATATTTCAAGATAAAAAATTGTTATTTTTAATAAGTTTGTTAAGATCCAAAAGTATTTTGATTTACATAAGTCATGATCTTTAATAGAGTATTTTATGATTCAAAAATGTTGTGATTTAAAACTTATTATTGACAAAAACTTAATTTGGTTGAGAATGTTATGATAGTAATTATACGACCCAAACTCATATGATCTAAAATTTTCCAATCCAAAAGGGGGTAACTGAACTTTATACAAAACATTGTAGACCATAAGACTCGTAGTTATAAGCTAGAATTCTGAACACCATTTTGCTTTGATTTTTGAATTTCTTTAAGAATTTTGAAATTATATGACAAAATCAAGAAACCCAACAGGGATATGGTATGACTTAAAAAATTGGGCTTATAACAATGAAGAGTCTAATCATTGGCCCACGTAACTCTGGTTCCACTGGGATTCTATTACCAGGTGTTGAGGTGAAAATAGTTAGTGCAGATACCGATAAGTCTCTTCATATTAACTAGATGGGTGAAATATGGGTTCGAGGAGCTAGCATGATGCAAGGTATGAACATCTTATCATTTTTTACACATAAAAGACGAATCTTTAATATGCTTTTTAGGCATAAAATCTGTTTTAGATCTTAATTTATAGGTTATCTTAATAATGCACATGCTACAGAGTATATGGTAGATAAACAGGGTTTTGTGCACACTGGGATCTTGGGTATTTTGATGATCAAGGTAAGTTATATGTGTTTGACTGAATAAAGGAACTCATTAAGTGCAAGGGTTTTCAGGTAAAAAAGTTGTGGTAACTTATATCTTCCAAAGATCCTATTTTGATAGGTTTTTTTGTTATCTTTTTTTCATGACAATAACAATCATTAATCTTGGCTGTATGTTTTATACTTTTAAGGTTGCACCGGTAGAGCTTGAAGTGCTTTTACTTTCACACTCTGAAATATTGAATGTTGTAGTAATTCGTAAGTTAATAAGACAATCTTATTCAGAATTTGAAGCTTATTCACAACATTTTCTAAATGGCCAATTTTCAGGAAATAGGAATTTACCTTTCCCCCCTTTTTTTTTTACCATGATGAGTAATATACTTTACTATCTATCCATAATATAATATACTTTATCCTAAATATCTCAATGTAGATTTGGTATTTGTATAACCATAACATTATTAGTTGAATGCCATAAGAACAAAAGGGTTAAAAACAAAATAAATGGTAACCCATTACCAATTTTCCAGGTTCAAATTATTGTTTTTGGTAGAAAATCATAAGTACGTTGGTATTATGGGTGCAAATATAAATTATAAAGGATAATACTTTCACTTTTACCTTTAGTAGCAACGTACCTTAACGGTATTATTAGAATACTGATTTGGAAAATATACTACCACATATGAAAAAAAAAACTACAAGAGTAAAGCAAAAATCAAATGGGAAAAAATATACTTGTTTTCATGGTTAATATTTGTTGCATTGTGTAAAAACAATAAGTATGTTGTTATTATGCATAAAATTTGAAGTATATTTCCCACATTGGTAAAAACAGAAAATTACATTGCTCTTTCTTTCAACATTCTCTTTTAGATCTGATATGTTGTAGCTAATCAGTATAAGTATTATGGTAGGTTTCCCAATATGGAAGCTGGCGAAGTCCCAATTGCATTTGTCGTTCGGTCTCCAAACAGTTTGTTGACCGAAGATGATGTTAAGAAATTTATTGCTGAACAGGTAAAGGTTTGTAATATTTTTATATTTTAATAAAAATCATATTCACTGGAATATAATCGATACAGGTTGCACCTTATAAAAAGATAGAAGCGAGCGACATTTGTAAACAATGTGCAAAATCGGCTGCGGGGAAACTTCTACGGCGGGAACTTATTGAAAAGGTTCGATCCGAAACATAAGATTTTATGAAATCAAAAAACTTAGAATGTTTTGTATATAATAAAAGTTGTGAACTGTTTTGGATTTGTTTTTTAACTATCCGTGTAAAAATTGTTAAAGTTTAGGAAAGTCAATAAGGAGAGTCGGTATAAAGTAATTGGTAGTACGGATGTAACCAAACCACATGTTGCGTACTGTGTAGTGGTAAGTTAGTGTATTTTCCTTTATTTAATAAGTGAACGATCAAGAACACTAATGTCGTTCGTTCATTTAAAGTTTTTTTTTTTTTTTTTTTTTTTTTTTGGTTTAAGTTTGTATGTACTATCGTTAATGTGTGCATCGATCATGTGTGCATCGATCGACAATATGCTACAATCCAATAGTGCTTCTCCATGTCTTTGACCAACAAGTGTACCTAGGCACAAAACCATTTTGAAAAAAGTTATACTTTACTTTTCGGGTACCATTAAGTATTTTAAAGATTTATAAACGTTACAAGGATAACAAATCGATCCACTTCCTTTACTCATGTGTTTTTCTTGGACAACCCAAATAAAAGTTTGAAAACCTTCGATATACTATGTTCTCGATATACGTTGAGTTTTGTACACCCCCTAACCACAATCAATCTATAAATTAAAATATACAAACAAGGAATGTAAATGTATGTATTCAATATATATAAATTAAAGAAAAAAAATAATAAAAATGAATATAAACAAGTGCTCTAATCCACTTTTTGATTATTATATCTCATACGTATACATTTTAACATGATAATAATCTATAAAAAAATAATTTTTACAAATAACAACAAATTATGAGTTAATACATAAACATGTTAAATAAAATAAAAAATAGCAGAGCATGTAGCAGCCTAAAAATCCAAGGTAAAATTTACATTATTATTATAATAAAAACACTATTGTAGCTTTGTTCTAAACATTGAAAAGCATTTCAATTAACACAATTATCAGTGTCTAATCCAAAAGATCACATATTGCTATTAGACATGGGCGTATGTGCTGCGATCGTCTCGAGCTCTTCCATTTGAAAACTGGAGTGCCTGAAACATAAACTGAAAACCGTAAGCACAAAGCTTAGTGAGTTTCCCAAATACCACATACCATACATATCAAACAATCCATACATGTCATATATAACTCTGAGATACACACATCCATCATATACCATAATCAATGAGACTGCTATGTGCGAACCATCGCCTTGCCATTATGCCACGAGCTGCCTCCTGGTCTTTCTTGTCAGGCCGGGGGCACAACCCTGGGTCTTACAGATAAGCGCCAAGACCCACCTCCTAGTCTTCCATGCAAGCATCACAAAGATAAATAATATACAAACTATACTACTTAACCAATTACTTGCCAGAGTTCAGACTCCGGTCTTGCATACATTGTGCCCTCATGGTCTTTTATACATAACGACAAGAGCTAACCCCGGGTCTTCCTACAATACATAAACCAAATAGGTCGGCATTGGTGCCTTCGACCCATACAACAGTGAGGAGACTCACCTCGAATGTTGAAGCTCATTGCAAGAAATCCTTAGCTGCTACCCTGACAACTCCTCAAGCTAACAATACCAAAATATCACCCAATTAGCGATTAGGACCCAAACTGTGACATCCTTAATTTCACGGCTAGAAAAGACCGATTTTTTTATGCTTTGTTTTCAAAATAAGAGTAATCGTTTAAAGAAAATTGTTGCGGAATTTGTCTCCAAAACAAAATATGATAAGAATTTATCAAAGCATTTCTTAAGGAAAAGTATTTTCGTTATATAACAAAATCTCGGGATGTCATTGTATTGATACCTGTCATACAAAGAAAACTGAGTGGGTCAGGCTTCGGAGCCCGGTGAGCATATAAGGTTTTCGAACCACAATAATATAATTATTATATTCAACCATCAAACAATCAACCCAATTACCCATCCCCATTGTAATCTTTATTTCTAAAGGTTTACCCTAAGAATTCAACTATCATTCATTCATTCATTCCTAAGGATTGACCTATGGAATTGACACAAAATCCATTGCTACATAAGGCACATCTACGAACATCATCCTTTAAGTGCCTCTGCCAGGATTACGTCATACACTATGAGGCGCGACTGCCAGGTTTATGACATTCTCTTTTGGGCGCATCTGCCGACATTATCCTATAAGCGAATCTGCCAGGATTATCCTATAAGTGTATCTACTAGTATTATGACATTCTCTATTTGGTGCATCTACCAATATTATTATCAAGTGCATCTAATAGTATTATGACATTGTCTACTTGGTGCATCTACCAATATTATTCTTTAAACATCTTACATACCTCGTCATTTACCTCATCATTTTATCACATACCAACTATCTCATCTACCCATGTTCTACCAAACATATTAGTAGATAAAAAAATACATATACGGTTTAACTCATCTAAAAAACCTTATAAAACATCCATTCCACACTTATCTCAAATAAACAATAGTATATAAACACATAACACGCATTTTAAAGCAAATACTTCATATTTATGTGTTAGAAGAAAATAACCACACACTCACTCATATAAACAACAATATATATACACATAGCACGTATTTTATAAAATACTTCATATCTATGTGTAAGACGAAAGTGACTATACACTCACTTGATCAGAAGATGATCGGACAACACTACAACTTGTAGAAGGTAGTATTCTTGGGTAGATCTGGAAGATTTTCACAAAATCCGAGCTTCTCGCGGCCAGAGCTTTGGCTAGGAAATTTCACTACTCGGGATCTTCAGGGCTTCGGGGCTGAGGAATGATACCGAGGCTTCGGGATATTTTTTGTACGAAAATCGAGGCAAAACGTGAGAGAGAGAAGAGAAAATGAACAAAGAAAATGGCTGATCTTGGTTTCTATTTATAGGCTGCTGGGTCTAGGATTACGCTAGGCATAATTTCCAAGTATGTTGGGCGTAATCTTGGTTACGCTGGGTGTACGCTTTGGATAAGCTTTGGTATCCATGCCACGATCTTCAAAATTCATAACTTTCGCATATGAGCTCCATTTTCGACGTTCTTTATATCCATGTGTAGGTGAGATTATGCTCTACAACGTTCATTTAGACTCTCTTGGCTAATTTTGATTTTATTTTTATTATATTATTTTTAGTAGGCCGGGACAAGAAAACTCCGTTATAAATTCACAACTTCTTCATCCGACGTCCGTTTTCGTCTATCTTTCTACCGTTGGACTACTATTAACAAGTTCTTCGATTCTCGTTTATATTGTTTCGGCTAAAAATCGCTCAATCTCAAATCGAGTATTCGGATGTTTAGAAAAATCATAACTTCCTCATACAAAGTCAGATTCAGATGTTCTTTTTATTCACGCTCAAGGTTTAACGAACTCTAAGACTTTTGTTTAGATTGCTAAGGATAAATATCAATCTAACGTAAATTCACTTTTTACATCATTCAGCGTCGTGTCGGTTCTGTTGCGAAACTTCGACAGGTCATAACTTCTTCGTTATAACTCGGATTTTGGCGTTCTTTATATGCACAGAAACCTTGTGACATATACTACAACTTAGTTAAGATTACTCATTCTAAATAATCTTCTATCAAAATTTCGGTTTTGATGCTTATTGTCTCTAAATTGACTAGCTCTAATCTACGGGCGTTACAATTATATCCCCCTTAGGATGATTACGTCCCGGAATCATCAACGAAACAGGGCTTGAATAATGATTCCATACGTTAACTTTCCATCCTAATTAATAACCGTGATGTTCAATCTTACGTCTAGTCTTCATACTATGTTGGACTTTCAATTGTTACCTTCAATTTATAAAATAAATCCTTATTGTGGACTCCTACTTCTTGTTAGGATAAATACGTTCATTTATCTATCGTAACAGACCGATGGGTTGTGTCCTGATGACCTCTCATCGTATGATGCAACGCTTAGACTCAAGTCTCATAGAGTCAAATTCCAGAATGGAATATACCTTCCTTCATATTCTAATGTGATATAATGACATTTTTACATGTAGCGTTTCTAGCTACAAACTTCCTTAACAACGAGCGCGATGCTATCGATCACATTGATTTCAATCTTTTGACTTGAGTCAGATGCTACCTCGAAATTGGTTCTATGAACCACGTAAGAAACTCGTCGTAGTCGGACTTAATTTGATCTTAATTTGATATGACCGTTAGGGTCAGAATATCAATCATCTTCTTAGTCACTACCGAAACAATGGTAACGACATACTTGAATGAAACGAGATCAATCACTAGCTTCTTGGCAACCTTGTGACTTTCCCTGATCCAAGTGTGAGTCATGTGCTTCCGGTAGTATATGCATCTACTACCTTTCACACCTACTCATACTCGTCCCAAGTATTGTCTCTCAGTCGAACCAAGTCACTATTCAAAAATACACAATCATTTAACATAGCAGGTATTAAAACCATAAATATCACATAAATATCAAAACCAGGGTTTATATCAAAACTTGAAACTATTACACAAACATTCAAGTTCAGCCTATATTATGCCTCTAATAGGCTACATCATAAGCTACTATTTGTACTGCTACTTCATAACTTGATCCTTGGATATATAATCCTCATCCTTGATTTCCCACATTATGGTCTGCTTTGTCAAGGATCATTTGGAATGATCTTGCCTTTGGTGGCGCATTTTGTTTCATAGATCCTTTCCTTTTTGGGCAGTCTTGCTTAAAGTGCCCCTCTTCATTACATTCGTAACATACCTTTTTGTTGAATATAAATTCATCAGCGTAGTGCCCATGCTTCCCACAACTGAAACATGTCACATCCGCGCCACATTTTCCCGAGTGCTTCTTCTTGCACTAATCGCACCATCTTCCTTCATCTCATACTTCTTTGAACTATACTTCGAGAATTTTATCTTTTTGTCGGACCTTGGTGATCCCTCAAACTTTATTTTCTCACCAATTTCGACCTTGTTGGCAGTCCTGCCCTTGATCATTTCTT